TGTGCATCCAATCGTGCTAAAATAAATACTTGCTAATTTTTTAGCTTCCATCATTGTAAGTTTTGTGAATGGGATCTCAAGGAAGGGGGCTTTTAGAAAGGAATAGTCGCCAGTCCATCAACAGCCCTTTCCAGAGTGATTTTTTTTGATATGCTCTGTCTCTTTTTGTTCTACCTCGTGTTGTATATATATTTTTTGCAGGTTGTCTCTCCCATTAGATGGAGGAGAGAGTGAGGCTGATGACTTTGCACAGCTTACCCTCACTTAAATTCAATTCACTTGCAAGTCATCACCCTGTTCGAGAACAGAAGGATTAATAACAACAACAACCTGTAAACTCCTTGAGGGCAGGGACTGTCTTTTGCCTCTTTTTGTATTCTCCAGCACTTAGTACTGTGCCTGGCACAAGGCAGGCACTCGATAAATGCTTATTAATTGATTGATTGATTGATGCTGGGCCCAAACCTCAGAGCATGTGTTCAGATTTTTTTTTCTTTTTGGAGCTCTGGATATCTTGATTGTACAAGGATGAGAATTGAGCTGGTAGATGCATCTGGTCAGTGGTCAGATGGGAAAGGAATTTAGTTGCTTTTCTTATTTTGGTATTAAGTGCTTGAGGCACAAAAAGGAGGAATAGAAGGTGAGGCTAGTCAGTTTTTTAGCTTCCCAAGCAATGTTTACCAGATATTTTAGGTTTCCCTATTAAAACATTAGACATAAAATAATAGGTTTCCCTGTTAAGACATTCGAACATTCATTTTTATTTATGTATCCCCAGCAGTTTGCCTGGTGCCTTGTACACAGGAAGTGCTTTATAAATGTGTACTGAATTGAATTAAATATGTCTGAGAAAACAGAGTACCTACATCCTCCTTCTGATTTTTAACTTTGCAAAACAGGAAGAAATGAAGAATTTTTTTTAAGAATGGGGTCAGCTCTGTGTATATGCTGCCCAGTACAAAGGTTGGCCAGTTCCGTCTCTTTCCTCTTAATAAAGACCAAATTGTTCAGTAGATGACAACACTGATACCAGGGAAGTAGGCTATGTAGAGTGGTGAATAGAATGTAGGACATATAATCAACTAGACATAGTTTCAAATCCTTCCTCAGACACTTGCTAACTGGTGATTTTGGCTCTGTGCCATATTTTTTTCTCATCTATAAAATGAGGAAGTTGAATTTAGTGGTTCTTTTAGCTCTAAATCTGTAATTCTTTAAGGTAGACAGCTGCCTAGACTGTCACATGGAAGACTGTGAAACAAAGGGTGTGTTTTCACCTGACTTTTTATAAATATATATTACTTATAGCATTAGAAGATTATATTCAATGCATGTCAGAATTTAGTGATAATCTATATGAGTTCAAATGAAGGCTCAAAGGCTTTTGAGATCAATAATACAATGGGGGTATAATTCTTAGACTTATCATAGGAAATATAAATACATTTTCCTGTTTCTGTAATAAATGGTCAGATAACTAAGGTAGGGTAATGAGCACTTTATCGCAGGGTATCAACATGTAAGAGATGATCTCTCAGAAGTGAAGCCTCCTCAAAGGGTCATTAGTTCTTGTTAATATTTCTGGTATTGTTGCTTTTGAGTGGTACATGTGTACCAACATTAGGTGAAGACCCCTCAGAATATAAGACCACCTCCCCTAGCCTTCTCCCTCCCCTACTCTTAGATAGTGTTAGCAGAAATTCCTGAGCCATAAGAGCATCCTGTCTATCTCATCCTCTAGCTAGTTACATGACCTTGGGTAAAAGGCTGCCAAAACTGTGAGGCCCTGAAAAGGGGAACAGCTAACATAATTTCTATACCTCTTTGTTCTCTCTGTTACTGGGGTAGTTTTTACACGAATAGATTGTACACCTGAGGCTCAGCCAATGAGCCCACGGGAAGGGGGTTAGGGTGAGCTGCTGCATGAGGGTCTATATAATCTTGCCTTAAACAAAGAGCACTTGCACTCTTGGGGCAGCTTAGGCAGCATGGGGATGCCCTTTCTCTAGAAAGTCAATAAAGAGACTTCTCCTTTTTGCAAACTTTTGTCAAGACCCTGGTTTTAATTTGGGTAGGTGGTCTCTGTCCTACACAAACATTTAGAGGGTGCTGACATTTAGAGGCTTTCAGTAGTACAGAAAACTTGTGGTCTACTTAAGTGCTCTTCCTCCTCCTGGTGGCTACACCATAAGTAAGATATTCCTCAACCTAGCCACTTCCCCCAGACCTTATGGCCACCTTCCAAGGTCTCACAGCCCCCTGGATCCATTTCATGACATTTGCTTCAGGCACAAAAATGACTAGCTACTGCTCTGCTGGTGATGGTGGGTGGAAGGGATTGTTGTAGTGAAGGAAAGGGTATATATTACACATCTTGGCAAAGATCAGCTTTTAAGTTAACCTTGCCTTCAAAACTGCCCACCATACGAATGAATAGGTTGAACCACTAGTAAATGACCTCTCAAGCAAGCTCATAGACACTTTTTTTTTAGTGCAATCAACTACTATGTATTTGCTTGAATTTCTCTTTTTTTCCCTCTCCAGAGCAAATATAATGGTACAGTGTAAGAAAATAGTTTTAAAAAAAGCCCAAACAACTCATATTCCTTTGCTATAATTCCAGTTATTTACAGTGGATCCCTGAGATCTGGTAAGCTAAATTCCAGATCTTTAGCAGCAGAGGTTTAAATACAGACTTTATAATTACACTGAGCCAAACATGAGCATGTCCTTTACAAGAAAATCACCAGGGACAGAGCACAGAAGCCAAGGATGTTTACAAAGTACTTATTCAATCAAACATTGACCAAAATGATGCCCCCCCAAAAGAAAAAAAAAACTACCCCAAGCAATAAACTACCAAACCTGCAACCCACCTGAAAACAGAAGCCAAGATGTTAGCAATGAAACAACTTCTAGCAAGGGACTGGAGGAGGTGGTACATCTTTTGTATTAAATACATACAGACTGGAAGTTTGGGTTTGCAACACTGAAGCTCTGAATCCAATCCCCTCCCCACTCCCTGATGTTGCTTTAATGTGGTGAAGGAAGATTAGTTGTTCTCATTACTCTAATAGGACACCTGAATCAAGAAAGTCAGGTTTCCTCTTGTTGGTTACCTTTTGTTGTTTTATTTTGTTCATGCAAGTCAGCAAGGGTAGGCTTGCTACCCTTTCATGAGAGCCACTGAGAAATTCACTGAGGCACAGAGAAAGCTCTGGATATCATAGAAAGCAAAGGGCAGAGTGTAGGGCTTGTGCTAAAAATTGGCTCTTTAATCTCATGAAATACATACAAAAGAAGTGCCACAGTCAGGTAAAATCTGTCAAGTAAGTGGTTTGTCTTTATGCCTTCAGCCTCTTAGTACTAGGCTCCCCTGCTAGGGAACTCTCCTTTCTTCAGGCACCCAAAGTCATCAAACTAGCTAAACTTGTGAGAGATGTGCATCAGCATTATTTTCTTTATGATTCTTTATTCCTTCATCAGCTTTCGAACTCTTTGTTACTTTAATATTCTTTTGACATTTGGTCTTTCATCCCCACCACCTCAGTCACCTTTTTAACTTTAATACTGTTCATGGTAGAATTGCTGACAGAATTGATGTAAAAAAGGCTAGCAGAGTATAACGGGAAGAATTTTGGTTGGAAGAAGGAGGCCTGGGTTTGAATCTCACTTTTGACACTTACTAGTATATGTAGCAGCAGCTAGCTCTTGTGATTTTCAAAAGATGGATTACTCTGGCTATGAGACTTGTCATTTAATCTTTGAGTCTCAGCTTCCTTATCATAAAATGGGAATAGTGATACATAACACTACCTACCTCACAGGATAATTGTGTGGAAAACACTTTGCAAACCTTAGATCACTCTAGAAATGAGAGCTATTATTCTTGGTGTTAAGCTGGAGATGATTTAGAAATAGTTTTGGTTTGATTTTAATAACCTCCCAATCTTTTAATTGAACTGTGTATATTCCTGTTTTTTCTCTTTGTTAGTATAGGTCATCACATTAAGAGGTGGGCTTTAGTTTAAAAGGTGAATTTTTGACTTTAAATACTAAAGATAGATTAAATGGGTCCTTATCTTTTATCTGCCTCTGGATTTCTTAATTTAAGACATGAACTTGGATAGGGAGGGCCAATATTATGCCTAAGGGTGGTTCAGCAGTCACCTATGTGGTGTAATTTGAGGGACACCAGGAAGATTCTTGCTTGCCTCAAATATCTGCCTGTATACATATTACATGGACTGAAATTCTACCATTAAAATCTCTTTCTTTAAGAGAGATTTGTCCTCTTCCTGTATATAAATGCTTAAAGGAAGACTAACACTTAAAGTCATCTGCACCTTGAGAACAGAGACTGTCTTTTGCTCTTTTTGGGGGGTGTAGTATCTCTAGAGCTTAGCAGTATTTCAGGTGCATAGTAGGCACTTAACAAATGTTTATTGATTGACAGTATCTTGATGTGATTTAGTTTATCACTGCTTTCAGAGAAAAGTAGTACCCTCCTTATAAAATGGAACTCAAAAGGATCCATTAGTGGAGGCACTAAAAATAAATTTTTATTTCCCAGTTTTGTCTAGGACTAGACCTGTGTGAAAGATGGAAAGCAGACATATGAAGAAAGGCTAAAAAATTGATATTCTTTAGCCAGAAGAAGAGAAAGTTGAGAGAAGGGCTAGGAATGGTCTATACTCAGCAAAGGGATGTTGTACAACTGTTCTGCATCTTCACTAAGAGAAAAATAAGAACGAATGGTCTTAAAATATAGCAAAAAAGTACTAGTTTAGTAAAAAAAAACAAATTTCTAAGGGCAAGGGATGGCTAAAAATAATAATAGTTTATATTTGTACAGCTCTTTAAAATTTGCAAAGCACTTTACATATATAATCTCATTTGAACCTCACAAAACCCCTGTGAGGTAGGTAATACTAATAGATATTATTATTCTTATTTTACAGACATGGAAACTGAGGCTTGGGGAGGTCTAGTGACTTGCCCATAGTCACACTGCTAGTAAGTATTGGGGCAGGATTCAAACTCAGGTTTTCCTGACTCCAAGACCATTCACCAAACCATGTTTCTTCATCAAACAAAACAAAACTGGGATGAGTAACTAGGGGATTTTTTAATACCAAAGAAGAGGCCCTTCTCTTGGTATGGTAATGACCAAGTTGGAGGCCCCTATCAGATGCAGAATTCTGATTTTTTTTAAAGCCATTTGTGAGGAATTGAGGACCTGTTTGGTGGATCCAAAGAAATTAGGCGTATCATGGAATTGAGATGCAAAGTTTCATTTGGAAGATAAGAATATGAAGAAATAGCACAGTGCCAGGCACACTGTAGGTGCTTAATGAATACTTATTGATTGATTCATAAATGAAAAAATACATTCTTTTCAGGAAGTTAAACCCCACTCCTGTTTGCAACGGACACTGACTTCTACTTCATCAGGTTTCACTGGTATGAGGTACTCATGATGTATACGCATTGCACATAACCCTATGGAATGATCCAAAAGTGGATGGATAGTTTCCATCTGATTCCTTTTGTCTGCAGCAGATAGTCATCTTGGTTCAATAGGTACCCCTCAAATCAATGGCATATACCACAAGGGGTTCCTTCTCTTCCAAATGGCTACTCACATCAATGGCCTATCTGACAGTGGCATAAATGCCTTGGCCAGCCTTCATTACAGCCAAGAGTGATCCATAGAGAGTCCCTGCAGCTGTTGACATCCCTTCTAATGTCAAGGCAGATGCCTCTGGGGCCTCTCTTCTCTTTGAGTTAGTTCTCAGGTACATAAAGTGACAGTTTTGTTTTTGAAGTGAAAGAAAGCCAGTGCTGTAGGTCCACCAATTCCAGTAAGCCCTGTCTGCAGTAGCTGCCATGAGGGGAGCTGCCACATCATGGCACCTTGCTGTTCCCTTGCCAATACAGCCTCTCATCCCCCTTTTTTTTTCTTCCACCGGCAGAGGAGCAACATCTTAAAGGTCTTTCTGAAAGTTTTATTGCAGAGGGCATAGCAGATGGGGTTGATAGTGCTGTTCACATAGCATAGCCAATAGCCCAGGTGCCACAGGGTGACAGGGATGCACTTGCTACAGAAGGTAGACACCAGCACCATGATGTTATAGGGGGTCCACGTGATGATGAAAGCCAGCAGGATGGCACTCAGAGTCTGGGCCGCTTTCCTCTCTTTCACCAGGACCATTCTCTTCCTCTTCGTCATTTGGTTGCTGAGGTTGGAATCCATGCCTTTTGTGGAAGGTTCCTTGGCTACAGGGACTGAGCAAGGTATGATTTTTACCTTATGACAGCCATTGTTGGTCTCTTGGGTCCCATCGGCCTTTACTACCAACTGGAATTTGTATGCTGCACATTTTTTACTTTTGGGCTCACGGATGGTAGTTGGGGACAGGAAGTATTTCTGCATCTTATAGTTATCATTCACAGGATTCTCTTTCACAAGAGCTTTCTTGGTCTCTTCAGCACTAAATTCTTCCTTTGGACTTTCCTTTGCCTGGCTTTTGTAGGCCATTCGGAAGACTGGGTCAGTGGTGGGCTTGTCGTCATCCTCCGAGGAAGCGTAACTGCTACAAGTGGTAAGCTGTTCTTCTTTGGCCCAGTCACTGTTTGTACCAGTGGGTTGGGAAGGCTTCCCAGTGGCAGAGGCACTCCTGCTTGAAGATGACCAGGAAGCCTGGCATCTCTCCCTCTTGACCAGGGTCGGCTGTTGGCAGCTGAAGCAGGACTTAAGCAGGGTCTTCCGTGTAGACTTGTTTGTCTCAAACTCAGCCACAGAAACAGAGCCCTGGAGCTCAGCCAGGTCCTTCGTTCGCCTTTCAGTTTCCCGGTAGATACGGCAATAGAGGATAGTCATGACAGACACTGGGATATAGAAGGCAGCAATGGCAGTGCCGAAGGTGATGGTGGGCTCAGAGAGGAACTGGATTTGGCACTCACCTGGTGGGACTGTTCTCTCCCCAACCAAATACTGCCAGCAGAGAATAGCTGGAGCCCACAGGACAAAGGAGATTAACCAGGCCAGACCAATCATGATCCCTGCCCGTTTTGGAGTACGTTTGGCCCTGTAGGTCAGAGGCCTAGTAATAGAGAAGTAGCGGTCAAAGCTGATCACCAGAAGGTTCATGACAGAAGCATTACTTGCCACATAGTCCAGGGCAAGCCACAGGTCACAGGCCAGGCTTCCCAGAGCCCAGCGCCCCATGAGGATATAAGTGGTATAGAGGTTCATAGAGAAGATACCAATGATTAGGTCAGCACAAGCCAAGCTCAGCAGGTAATAGTTGTTGACTGTCTTGAGCTGGCTATTAACTTTGAAAGACAGCATGACCAAGATGTTACCTACAATGGTGCCTAGGCTTACTATGGCCGTCACTGTTGCTATAGTGATGACTTCCCACAAACTATGTCTTGATAGAGGCTGGTGATTTACGGGAGTGCCATTGGCAATGGTTTCATTGGGGTAAGTATCCCCTTCCATTCTGATTGGAATTTATGTCAGGTTTTTAGCTCCTTCACAGGCAACTTCCATGTGTCATTCATTCTCAGCTTCTCAGATGTGACCTAGGGCGAGAAGAAGGGAGAGGAAGGAAGGGGGGGGGAGAGAGAGAGAGAGAGAGAGAGAGAGAGAGAGAGAGAGAGAGAGAGAGAGAGAGAGAGAGATCATTAGCTTCATTCATTCATCAACACCAAGCTTTTGCCATTCTCAACTTAATTTTTTTTTAATTTTGTGGCCAAATTCCTGAATTTCTGAATTATCAAAAGCCTGAATGTTAAAAGTTTCATACCCTTATTCTTGCTGGTAGTGCTTAAGCATTAGAGTCAAGTATGGGGTTGATGCCCTTAAGTGATACCAACAGGAGATGATATTAGGAGGTGAAAGAAGATAAAGAAAAAAGCAAAGGAGCAGAAGAAAGGAGAAGTGAGGAGGAGAGTGAATAGCAGTGAGGGGAAAGAGGAGAGAAATTCATTAGATCATATAGTTTTTGAGGGCAGAAGTCATATCTTCTCAACTTTGAGCAAAATCCCTAGAGGAGGGTTAAACCCTAAACAAAATTATAGTAGAGATGTAGTTTATCTTTTGTACTTTCCCATCTCTCCTCTTCTCTGAGATCCTTTCTCTAACCCCTCCACCCTCCAGGTGCCTATCTTACTCTCAACTAATTTTCTCCTATGGCTTAATGCTTCTCAGGGGATATTTGCATTTCAGTAGGTGACTTTTAAAGACTTTCTAGTCTAAGAGTCAAAGGAATGAATTTCTTCTTTCTTTAAAAAATAATTATTTATTTTTAGTTTTCAACATTCACTTCCATAAGATTTTGAGTTTTAAATTTTCTCCCTCTTCCTCTCCTCCCCCCCTCTCTAAGACAGCAGGCATTCTCATATAGGCTCTACTTATACCTTCGTATTAAGCATATTTTCACATTAGTCATTAGGTAAAGAAGAATTAGAACCAATGGGAGAGAAAGAACCATGAGAAAGAAGAAACAAAACAAAACAACAAAAGAAAAGGAAAGCAAATAGTATGTTTCCATATGCACTCAAACTCCATAGTTCTTTCTCTGGATGTGGATAGCATTTTCCATTGTGAGTCTTTTGGAGTTGTTTTAGATCCTTGCATTGCTGAGAAGAGCCAAGTCCATCAAAGTCAGTCATCTTACAATGTGGCTGTTACTGTGTACAATGTTCTCCTGGTTTTACCCATTTCACTCAACATTGGTTCATATGAGTCTTTCCAGGTTTTTCTGAAGTCTGCCTGCTCATCATTTCTTATAGTGCAATAGTATCCCATTACATTCATATACCACAACTTGTTCAGCCAAGGAATGAATTTCTAATGGTGGAATTTGGTACCTTGATACCCTCACAGGTGCGTGCACTCTCTCTCTCTCTCTCTCTCTCTTTGCATTTTGTCAGGAGTTCTTGGCATCCTTCAGGTTGTAGTACCTAGTCATCAACATGAGGCTGACCCTGGTCACATATATGAGGGTCCTTGTGAAGTATTCTGTGAAGATGATGATGGTGCGTGATAACTGTTAAGTTGGTGAAATGTTTCACATTCTTCCTGCTCCAATCTGATAGAAACCAACTTTCTATCAGATATTTCTATGTACATGGCTTATTGGCACCCCATGCTCAATATCTTTAAAACTGACCATCTCTTCTTCTTGACTTTCCAATCTCTGTTAATGGTACTACTTTTCTCCCAGATATCCAAGTTTAAGAGCATAGGATCACAGTTTTAGAGACGGAAGGGACCCTCACAGGTCATCTAGTCCATCTCCTCATTTTGTAAATAAGAAAATTGAGCCCAAAGAGGTAAAGTCTCTTGCTTAAGGTCATATAAATAGCAGTAGCAGGATTGGAACCCAGATCCTTTGACTCAAAATATACGATTTTTTCCATTTTCCTATGTTGCTTCCTACTGTGCAAACTAGTTTAATGGAATAAACTGTGACTAAAGCCACAAAGTTGGGAAACCTTTGAGTTATCCCTTATTGCTCCATCTCTTTCTGCCTATTCTTTCCTAATCAATTCCCCACAGAATGTTTCTTATGCCTGCCCCTTCCTCTCCATTCCTACTGCCACTACTCTAACACAGGCCTCTATCAATTCACACCTGGATTACTGCAACAGGCTCCTAGCTGTTCACCCAGATTTCTGGTTCTCCTTCCCTGTACCTGTTCTACTCATGGTTGTCAGCTTAAACTCCCTAAAACACCACTTAAATTATGTCACATCCCTACTCAAAAATATTCAGGGGTTGGCTCTATGTTACTTACAGTATAAAATTTAATCTCTACTTCTTATGTTTTTTACTCTCCAACTATCCATCCTACCTATCTATCCAACTTCCCACTCCCATCCAACCTTATTTCACAGAGATAAAAAAGGAACTCAGCAACCATTTGGTCTAACCCATACAGGAGAGGAATCCCCTCTAGCTGATACATGGTCATGCAGGCTGAGCTTGAAGACCTCCAAGGAAGGAATTCCCTACCTCTGGAGGCAGCCCATTACACTTTTGCACAGTTTTTAATTGTTAGGAAGCTTCCCTTAACATTAAGCCCAAGTTGGCCTTTTTGCAAATTCTACCCATTGCTCTTGATTCTGCCATACAGGATCAAAAAGAACAAGTGTAAACATCCATGGTTCTATCAAATGATTTCCTACAACTCCCCAAGTATGCTCCCTCTGCTTTCATCTGGCCCTATTCCTCATCATTGCATGAATGTTTATCATGCTTATTACTACCCTTATACCTTTGCTCTCATGCTAAACTTTGAGAGCCAAATCTAATCTCACCTCCTCTATGAAGTCTTCCTTGATAACTCCAGCTCTTACTAATCTCCCTTTTCTCTGACTTTTTTTTGTTGTTGCTGCCAATAAACGATAACATTCATATACCATAATTTGTTCAGCTGTTCTCCCATCATTGGTCACCCACTTTGATTCAAGCTGGTCTTTTATTTTGTTTTTGTTGAAATAACAAATGCTGGTAAAACATTTTGGTGTGAGATGTTTTTGCCTTTGGCCTCCTTAGATTATACGTGTAGTGAGATTGCTTGGTCAAAAGATATGAACAGTTCAGGGACTTGTCTTGTATAATTCCAAAGTATCTATCAAAACAGACCGATTCACAGCTCCTATGTATATACACATTCCATGTATATATACATATATAATTATAGATTATTAGAAGTGGAAGAAACCTTAGAAGTCATGGGTTTATGGGATCATAGATTCAGAGGTCATCTATTCCAACTCTCTCATTTTACAGATAATGAAACGGAGGCCCAGAGAAATAAAATGACTTCCCCAAGTTTATATAGTTAGTAGCAGAGATGGGACTGGAATCCAGGTCTCCTGATTTTCATTGTAGGTGGTGCATTGGATAGAGTGCCAGACCTGGAGTCAGGAAGACCTATCTTTCTGAGTTCAAATCTGGCCTCAGATACTTACTAGCTGTCTGACCCTGGGCAAGTCACTTAACCAACTATGTTTGCGTCTGTTTCTCATCTATAAAACTTATCTGGAGACAGAAATGGCAAACCATTCCAGTGTCTTTATGAAGAAAACCCCATATGGGGTCATGAAGAGTCAGACATGACAGCAAAACAACTGCACTTCCCCCTCAAAGAGCTTACAGTCAGGAAGATGAGTTCAAATTCCCACTTCTACCACTTTCTGTGAGACCATGAGCAAGCCATTTAATCTCTGCGAGTCTTAGTTTGCTCAAACATAAAATGGAGATAACAATACCTTTAATTCTTATGTCACGGGGTTATTGTGAGACTTAAGGGAGGTAATCTGTTCAAAGTACTTTGCTTTAAAATGCTACATAAATGTCAGCTATTACTAGCGATAGGTATTGGACCTGTAATTCATTGGTAACATCTAGGTGAGGAAATTTCATCTACTAGTGCCGGATAGTACCTTCTCTGAAACTTAGTCTTAAGTCATTGAGAGGTTAAGGAGTTTGCTCAGGGTCACACAGCCAGTATGTAACTGAGGTAAGACCTAGATATTCCTGAATCCACGACCAGCCCTATATCCATTACACCAAACTACTTTTCTGCTATTATTGTCGCTGTTGTTGAAAGTGTATGGCGCTGTCCACGGTAGCAGAATCCCTTTACACTCATGAAATCATAATTATAGAAGATTAGATCTGAAACGGACCTTGGAAATCATACAGTCCAGCAAACTGGACTGTATGATTTCCAAGGTTCCTTCCAGATCTAGTATTCTAATCAGGAAACAAAGTACCAGAGTGGTGATGTGATTTGCCCAGTGTCATAAAATGATGTTGGCTGGGGACTTGTACCCAGGCCTACAATGACAATACATGATGCAAAATTATTTATACTTACTACCTGTGTGACTTTGGGCAAGACACTTTATCCCCCCCTTGACTTTAGTTTTCTTATCTGTGAAATGAGGGGGTTGGACTAGGTGACCCCCAAGATCCTTTAAGGTCTAGATCTATGATCCCATGTACTTATGTGAACTCTGTATTTCCTCTAACACATAGCACAGGACTCTGAACAGATCAGGAGCTTAATATATGTTTGTCAAATTGAATAGAATTGCACTGAGTTTCTTCTACTCACTTTGTGCTCTTCCTTCCTAGCTGGTGATTCATCTTTTGAAAGCTCATTATAATTGATGGCTGCAAATTCATTTCTAACTTGCCTACATTAGCAGAAAAGTAATAACCATCTCATTTTCCCCCACCACTCATCTGCCACAAGAAGACCTTGCAGAGGTGATCTTTTCTGTGCCTCCAACCTTGGCTGATTGTTTCTTTGTTGTCAGTAAATTGAGGTACACCAAATTAATTTCTTCTCTTGTTGCTTAGCATAAGGAAACATGTGACTTCTTGGTCTGTTCATAAAATTGTGTTGTGACCTTTAATGCTTTTCTGGTTTTAAATCTCTCCTTTTCATTGCTTTTTGTAAGCAACTGTTGGGGGAAACTTTAGTATCTCCCACAGCCAAGGGACACAAGGACATTTTCATTAGAATCAGTTTATGATATTAGGTAGAGGATGCTGATGAACTGTTCTCCACTGAAGGACAGACCAAAGAAAAGAATCCTAAAGTTCATTTATAGGACTTACATCAGGCATCTGGAAGAACTGAGGAAATATGTTAGTGAAGGAGTCTGTTATTGCCTTCCCATAAAATCTTGAAAAAACATGGTACAAACTTCTGTGTAGGCCTAGTGCTGCCTGGAGGCAGAGAGAGAGAGAGAGAGAGAGAGAGAAAATTATTTTGAGGGTTCCTCTATGTCATAGTATTTAATTAAATAAAATTCAACTGGTATTTTTAAAATTAATTAATTAATTAATTTTAGTTTTCAACATTCACTTTTATGATATTTGAGTTCTAAATTATTTCCCCTTCTTCCCCATCCCCCTACCCAAGATGGCATGCAATCTGATATATGCCATACATGTACAATGATATTAAACATATTTCCACATTAGTCATGTTGTAAAGAAGAATCAGAACCAAAGGGAATAACCACAAGAAAAAAAAAAAACAAAAAAGAAAATAGTATGCTTCAATCTAAATTAGACTCTATAGTTCTTTCTCTGGATGTGGATAGCATTTTCCATCTTTAGTCTTTTGGAATTATCTTAGATCATTGCATTGCTGAGAGCAGCTAAGAATCAGTATTTATTAAATGTTTATTTTGTATACAGCACTGTGCTAGATGCTATTAGGGACATGGTATTGTTCCCGACTCTAAGAAGTGTAATCTTTCTACAGTTTTAGGAAGAAAAGACATAAAAACAGAATTGGGACTTCAGTCCTATTTCCCATGTTAGAAAGTATCTATTGTCCTTAAAGACAATCAGGAGTGTTCTCTTTGCAGTCCTATGGGAACTAGAGTTTATATGGATGCAAATTCAATTCAGTTCTATTCAACAAGTATTTATCAATTACCTATTAAGGTAGGGCACTATGCTTTCATTTGGGCAGCTAGGTGGCACAGTGGATAGAGCTCTGGGCTTGGAATCTGAAAGACTTATCTCCCTGAGTTCAAATCTGGCCTTAGACACTTACTAGCTGTGTGACCCTGGGCAAGTCACTTAACCCTATTAGCCTTATTTCCTTATCTGTAAAATGAGCTGGAGAAGAAAATAGCAAACCACTCCAGTATTTTTGCCACAAATACCCCAAATGGGGTCACAAAGAGTTGGACATGACTGAAAATGACTGAACAACAACAAATGCTTTCATGCAGTTGTAGAGCAGGACAATTTGGAAAGAACTTCCAAATAGCACTGTATTTTCTGGACCTTGCTTTATAAGTTGTCAGTGTTATACTCGTGTCCACATCAGGGAGATATAATAAAGAACATGGTGGGAGAAGGGGTATTAAAATAGCAATAGAGCTTTAAAATGATTTTATTGATTTTTTTATCTTCATGTCACAATTATTTCACACTCAACTCCCAGCTAGATATCTACCTTGTGATGAACAAAAAATTAAACAAAAATGGTTGATACAGAAACCTTGTCTGACAATATATACAATATTCAGTCCTAGTAGTTTCCCACCTCTCTGTCATGAAGGAGGAAGTATGTTTATTATTTTTGCCATAGGAATTTCATTGACTTTTAAAAATTAAACATTTTTTTACTAGATCTGTGATTTCATCAATATAAGAAAAATACAGTGAGAAGATTCTTTTTACCAATGCAGATCCATATTTCTGTTCAACATATGGTTTCAGAGTGTTTTTTTGGGACACTACAAGGCAAAATGCCTTGCCCAGGGTCATAAAGCTTGTGTGTGTGTGTGTGTGTGTGTGTGTGTGTGTGTGTGTGTGATGGGTGGAGTCTTCCTAACTCTGAAGCCAACTGTCTAACAACTATTCCACATTAGGTTTTCTTGGGTTATGGAATGTAATGTGGCCCATTTGCACAAATCTCCTTTAATTGGTAGAGAATGATAGCTTGATGCTCTGTGCCTATGTGAGGGGTGGGGGTGGTGAGAGTTTGGGAAAGGAGAGATCCCGATTTTTCTGGCTTCTAGCTTCAATAAAGGATATGTGTGTTTTAGGTTGTCTTCAGAAAACAGATTCTATAGAGAGACAGACTTTGGAAAAAAGCCAACATGTAGAAGTGGTGCTTCAATCATGTCCCTGTTCTTACCTTGTAAGACTAGGAGACTTTGGAGAGTTTCTCCACGGGTGAGGTGAAGACTCCTGTTTTCAGTCTCTATCTATATTTCTAGCTATCTGTTTCTTGTTGAGCTGAGATAGCTCACTCCCAGGTGGAGAACTCATTCACTCTGCTTATTGTCTGGTATAATTTAGAATCTGTGTAACTTCTCTGAATTTTATTTCCTATCAGCTTGACTAAATAGGTTTATTTTTTATCTACTATGTGTGAATGGTCTTTGTGTAAATGGCATTTGGTGAGGAGTCAAGCCTTTGGATATATAGCTTGTAGCACTCCTTCTAGTTAAAAGGATAGCAACTGGGAGCATACCTTCAACCTAAAAATTATTCCCCTAGATTTGCAATATTTAGAGGGGCAGACAGATATAATTCTAGCTCAGTATTTTTCTCTGAGGAAAGCAGAGAGACCAGCCTTGTGGCTCCAACCTTCTATTCCCTTCCTGGCAGGAATCAAAATCTCCTTTGTATATTCATTTCTGGCTGTGTATAGAGATAAAAATATTTATACTGGACAACTCTGTAAGTGTTCTCTGCCACCAGACTAGCAACCAGTGTGCCAGAAGCCCAAATGTATAACCACATTTTCAAATAAACTAATAGTTATTAACCTTGATTTAAAAATTTTTGAAAACTATACTTCAATATAATTAATTTCCAGGGACAGCTAGATGGTGCAGTGGATAGAGCTTTGGTCTTGGAGTCTGGAGGACATGAGTTCAAATCTGGCCTCAGACACTTGACACTTACTAGCTCTGTGACCATGGGTAAGTCGTTTAACCCTGATTGCCTCACCAGAAAGCAGAAGAAATTAATTTCCTCCATAAACTTTTGCACTTTATTTTATGAATCTAAAATCATTATTCTGAGTAGGGATCTATAGGCTTCACCAGACTGCCAAACATGTCTGTGACAAAGAAAAAAAAAAGGTTAAGAACCCTTGATTTAGAGTGACAGATATTTTTCCCTATTATTTATTTGTGTGAAATCTTATCCACTGCCGTTATCTCTATAGACTCAATACCTTTTAGACACACAATTCCATCAGCTCCAATATCAGATTACAAAATGAATTCTAGAATGAAAGAAAAAACTAGATTGTATCTTAATCACACCTGGAAGCCAAATTCTCTGTTGATTTCATTTGAGTCAGAAGACTTGTCTGAAATATACAGAAAAAGTGTAGTATATGGAAAGGAGGCTGGATTTAGAGTCAGAACTAAGGTTCAAATCTCTACTCTGCTATTGATTACCTATGACCTTAGGCAAATCACGTAACCTCTCCAGGTCACAATTTCCTTATCTGTAAAATGACAGGGTTTGACTAGATGAACTCGGAGGCACCTCCTAGCTCTAAAGCCGTGATCTCAAGGTTAAGAACATATACCTAATGTGTTAGAAAGCAGCAAGATAATATTTCTGATGAGTAGCAAATGACTTGTCCAGGGGCATAAAGCGTGTGTGTGTGTGTGTGTGTGTGTATCCTCAGTGCCTAACATAAAATCTTGCACATGGCAGGTAATTAAATGATTATTGAATTTTATTGTATTGAATTGAACCCAAAATAAACCAAGTGGTGATGATGTTTCTGCATCTCAGCGCCTAGTGTGGTAATGTTGAAAGAACTATATCCAGTCTCTGCTGCCACTGACTAGCTCTATGATCTTGGGCAAATTTATCTCTCGGCCTAAGATTTCTCATTTCCCATTTTATAATGGAGGTATTTTATATCTATTTCACGGAATGGTCGCAAATCTCATACGAAAGAAGGATGTGCAATGTGAAAATGCTTTCAAAAAGTATAATAAAAATAAAACATATGGTTACTGGAAGAAATTCTTACTGTTGATAATACCATAAATACAGTTTGCAAAGTTCAATCTCATAAGGAAAATCCCTCTTGATTACTATAAATTTTCTGTTTTCCACAGTTACGTCTTCTAAGTGCCTCTAACTATATGGATATTGCCTTTGATTCTTTGCACTGTTGGACTACCTTAGAAAATAACTGGGTAGCCTGGTGGCCTCTATTTTTGACTGTTTTCCCAAAAAAATGCTTAATGACCTAGGATTATGGAAGTCTGTCTAAATATTTGATGAAATTCATTAAATCCTGTCCTTCCTAGGAAGATGAAGGTTTGTTAAGGTTGTTATACGCAGAAAAGGTTTTATGGACAAAGTAGCACTTGAGTTAGACTTTATAGAATAGCTAAGAATTCAATAGGTGAACAGGAAAACGGAAGAAGTTTCAGGAACAGGAAACATGAGCAAAGGCACAGGGGCTGGACATGTTTGGGGGTAGGAGTTAGGGCAGAGATTAGATATATATGGTTAAAGCACAGTATTTGGAGGGAAGTAATACAAAAAAAGGCTGGAAAGGAAGACTGACACCAGATTGTGGAAGGCCATAAGTGCTAGGCAAATGAGTTTAAACTTTACTTGGTAGGCAATAGTTTTTTAATTTTCTTTTTTGTTAAAGTTATGAGCTTGATAAACTTTAACATTTCCACATACAAAGAACAGAAAAAAGAGGACTATATGTAACTGTCTTTTTTGTATACCTTAATATATACTTTGAAAACGAACATATTAACATGATAGTAGCAATACTACTTTGCTTATCTATATCCCCTTCTGAAGTTCCTCTGCTCTTATGTTTTTTTTAAATGTTTCATTGATATTCTTTTTTTTTTTTATTATCCTTAATTCTCCTTATTTTCTGTCCCCAAAATAAAAGTTCTACCATCTAACAAATAAGTATAGTTAAGCAAAACAGATTCACACAGAGTCAAGCACAAAAAATGTCTTATTTTTTACCACTAACCTATCACTTCTCTGTCAAGAGTTGAGAAGCATTCTTTATCATGAGTCTGCTGGAATCACAATTGGTCATTTAATTGATCAGAGTTCTTAAGTCTTCCACAATTGTTTTCCTTTACATTATTGTGATCACTATATAAAATGTTCTGTTGGTTCTTCTTATTACCCTGGCCTCAGTTTATACAAATTTTCCGTTTTCTCTGAATCTATCCCCTTTGTCATTTCTAACAGTGCAATAATATTCTATTTCATTGATATACCATATCTTTGTATTGACATACCATACTTTGTTCAGGCTTTCTCCAACTGATATACACCCACTTGGATTCCAGTTCTCTAATTCAACAAAAAATGCTACTGTATTTTTATGCATTTGTCTTTTCCTTCTGTCTTTGAATTCTTTGTGGACAGTATTATCACTAGGTTGAACCAGGATGCAGTAACTTTTTTTATGTATAGTCAATAAACATTAAGTGTCCACTGTGTCAGGCCTGGAGTAAGGAAGACTCATTTTCCTGAGTTCAAACCTGGCCTCTGACATTTACTAGCTGTGTGACCCTGGGCAAGTCATTTTGCCTTAGTTCTTCATCTGTAAAATGAGCTGGAGGAGGAAATGGCAATCCAAGAAAACCCCAAATAGGGTCATGAAGAGTTGGACATGACTGAAAAACAACTGAACACACCCAGCAAAACTGAGTATAATCCTTCAGGGGAAAAAATGGTCATTCAGTGAAATAGAGGACTTTCAAGCATTCTTGATGAAAAGACCAGAGTTGAATAGAAAATTTGACTTTCAAATACAAGACTCAAGTGGAACATGAAGAGGTAAACAGGAAAGAGAAATCATAAGAGACTTATTAAGGCTTAACTGTTTACATTCCTGCATGGAAAGATGATTTTTATAACTCATGAGACCTTTGTCAGTATTAGGGTAGTGGGAGGGGAAAAAATTATACGTATGTATAGATAGATAGACAGATAGAGGGCACAGGGTGAGTTGAAGATGAAGGGGTGATATCTGGAGAATAAAATTAAGGGGTAAGAGAGGATTATATTAGGAGGAGAAAGGGAGAGGTAGAATGGGGTACATTATCTCACAAAAAACAGACAAGAAAAGGTTCTTATAGTGGAGGGGAAACAGGGGAAGGTGAGAGGAAATGAGGGAATCTTATTCTCATAGGATTTGGCTTAAGGAGGGAATAACATACCACTCAATTGGGTATGGAAATCTGTCTTACCCTACAGGAAAATAGGGGAGGAAGGGGACAAGAGAGCAGGGGGATGATAGAGAGAAGGGCAGATTGGGAAAGGGGTAATCAGAAGGAAGTACTTCTGAGGAGGGACAGGGTCAAAAGAAAGAATAGAATAATTGGGGGGGGCAGGATAGGATTAAGGGAAATAGAGTTAGTTTTTCACAACATGTCTACTATGGAAGTGTTTTGCATAACTGCACATGTATGGCCTGTATTGACTTGCTTGCCTTTTCAATGAGGGTGGGTGAGGTGGGAGGAAGGGAGAAAATTTGGAACCCAAAGTTTTAAAAACACGTTTAAAAAAAATGTTTCCACATGCAACTGGGAAATAGGAAATACAGTAAATGAGGTACAGAAATCTATCTTGCCCTACAAGAAAATAGAAGGGGAAGGGGATAAGAGAAAGGTGGGGAGAGATAGAAGGGAGGGAAGACTAGGGGAAGGGGTATTCAGAATGCATGCCATCTTGGGGGGGGGGAAGGGGCAAGATGGGGTGAAAACTTGGAATTCAAAATCTTGTGGAAGTAAATGTTGAAAACTAAAAATAAATAAATTTATATTAAAAATATATTCAATGAAAAAAAGAAGAAAAACAACTGAACACAGATCAAACATTATGCTAAGTGCTGAAGATATAAATACTAAAAAGATAGTTCCTATCCTCAAAGAGCTTACAGTCTAATTGGAAAAGATAACACAAAAGGAAGCTGAAAAGGGCAGTGAAGGGACCTAGCATGGGGGAATGATGGGGAAGTCCAAAGGAGTGCAGCCCAGTTGGAAATAAAGAAATGGCTGATTTGGGCATCCTCCCCTAAACAGAGATTTTGGGAGGAACTCTTTGCCCTGCCCTCCAGTCGGAGGGGGCAGAAAGTACTGATGAGTTTAAGTACCAAGGCTGATTTGATCTTGCAAGATGATGAGGTTCCTAGGGGCATAATGTAGATATTCAAAGGAGTTCAGCCAAATTGCTTTTCAGAATGGTTGGAGCAGTTCTGTCTTCCCAAAGCTCTTCTAACAATTATTTCCTTTTTGTCAATCTGATGGGTGTGAAATAGAACCTCAGATTTGTTTCCTTTTGTATTTCTCCAATTATTACAGATTTGGAGCTTTTTTTTCCAGATGTTTACTGATGGCTTGGTTTTATTCCTTTGAGAAATTTCTGCTCATGTACTTTATTTATCCATTGAGGAATGGCTCTTGTTCCAATATATTTGTATCATTTCTGTACATATCTTGGAAATCAGGACTTTATCAGAGAAATTTGCTGCAAAGATTTTCCCCAGTTAATTGATTCCCTTCTAAATGCAGTGATTTTATTTGTGAAATACTTTTTTGATTTTATGTAATCAAAATTGTCTATTTAATTTTTATGATCATCTCTATTCCTTATTTGGTAAAGAACTTTTCCCATTCATAGCTGTGAAACACATCCTGTTCCCTTCTCTTCTAATTTGCTTACCTTTCAAGACTAGGTCATGTATCCATTTGGAATTTATTGAGACAGGCAATAGAGATTCTTCCCCTCCATGAACTTTTCAATCCAGTGATACTTGCTTCCCTGCTATTCCTCACACAAAAACCTACATCTGCTGACTAGGCATTTTCACTGATTGTCTCCCCCCTCCCCTCCATTCCTAAAATGCTCTCCCTCCTCCTATCTGCTTCTTAGCTTCCACGAAGTACCAGCTAAAATACCATTTTCCATGAGAAGCCTTTCCTGATTCCCCTTAATTCCAGTGCATTCCTTCTACTGATAATTTCCCATGGCATGTTTGTATATAGTTTTCATATTGTTTCCCCCATGAGATTGTCAGCTCCTTTAGAGCAGGGACTGACTTTTGCCCTTCTTTGCATTTGTAGTGCTTAGCACTGTACCTGGCACACAGGAGGTTTTTAATAAATTTTTATTGACTATTGCATCTAGCATAACATTTAAAGCCCTTCACAATTTGGCTCCAACCCACCTTACCAGACTGGCTTCTCATTATTTTTCCTCACATACTCTGTGTTCCAGATAAATTAGTATACTAACTGTTCTCCATACATGATATTCTGTCTGCTGTCCCCATTCTTTTGTATCTGCTTTCCATTTTTCAGAAAGCTCTACCTCCTTAGTTCAAACTTTTGACATCCTAGATACCATCAAAACTCATTTCAAGTGTAACCTCCTAAATGAGGCCTTTCTTAATTTCCCAGATATTGATTCTGTCCTCTTCTAACCCCCCGAAATTAGTTGATTATGCAAATGGATCTGTCAGAGGATGTAGGCCCAAATTCTGTCTTATGCCCATCTGATTGTAAGCAAATCAATTAGCCTCTCTGGACCTTAGTTTCTCCATCTGGAAAGCGAAAGGGTTGGATGTCTCTTCCAAGTCTAGATCTCTGATCTTGTGACGTTGAGCTGGATGTTTCTTCCAATGATGAAGATCCCAGCTTATCCACGCCTTGTGTATACCGTGCGCCTTTGGTTCACATCTTCCCCTTAGTTCACCATAAGAAGTCTACCCAATACTCCTTGATTTCTCCTAATTTTGAAAGAATATCAGTGGATGGCAGTGGACAAGCCAGAGATGAGATAGAGGCCATTGACTGTGAACTCCCTTTTCTTAGAAGACAGCTGGGGGAGCAGACAGAGCACTGAACTTGGAATCAAGAAGACTGAGTTTGAATCCTTTGTCAGTTTACTATCTAAGTGACCTACTGTCAAATCAGTTAATCTGCCATTTGTAAAATGAGGCTAATGTTATTTACTTCAAAAGGTTGTAGTGAAGATCAAATGAGAAAGGATTTTGTAAACTGTAAAGAACTACATAAATTAGTAGTTCTCATTGTTCTTTCCTTCTCTACATCTCCCAAACCCTTAACATTCCCCATTCTCTCCTCCTCTACGCCAGTCTCTGATGTGATGACACTTCCCTTGGTCCATGCTGAATCCTGTAGGTGAACCCTTGATCCTATTCTTCCACTTTTCTCCGTAAGACACTTCCATAATTGCATTTCCCCCCAAACTCTCTCTGACTCTAAAAATCCGTCATTTATATACATGCCCATCCTCAACAAAACCTTCACTCGATCCTACCATCCCCTCAAGCTAGCATCGAATATCTCCTCTCTTTCTCAGTCAAAATTCTCAGCACTTGACTTCTTTTTCCTCTCCTCTTGGACACTCTCCTTTCCTGGGTCTCCTCCTGTGCATGCGACTACTCCTTCGTGGTCTCCTTTGTTCCCTATCACTCTCCAAATGGGGAACTATACCAAGGTTCTGTCCCATACTCCCTTTTCTTTGCCCTCTACACTCCTCTTCATGCACTTTACGATCCAATCAGATTGACCTTCCCACTGCTCCTTATACATTATAAAATCTCAGCCTTTGCACTGGCTGCTCCCCATGCCTGGAACGTACACCTTCCTCACCGCTGCCTCTGTTGTTGTTCAGGCACGTCCAACTCTTTGTGACTCCATTTGGGGTGTTCTTGGCAGAGATACTGGAGTGGTTGGCCATTTCCTTCTCCAGCTCATTTTACAGATAAGGAAACTGAGGCAAGCAGGGCTGAGTGAATTGCCCAGCATCAGTATCTGAGGTCAGATTTGAACTCAGGTTCTCCTGACTCCATGCCCAGTGCTCTATCCACTGTGCCACCTCATCAACCCTAGAACCCTTTGAAGACTTTTAGTTTCTGTGCTGCCTTCCACATGAAGTTCTTGATCTGCACCCTCCATCCAGATGGTTGTGTTCTCCCTCCAAATAACTTTGTACTTACTTTGTATATACCTGTGTATGTATTGTTTCTCCCCAAAAGAATGCCAGTTCCTTGACAGCTGGCAGTAGTTTATTTTTCTCTTTGTATTCTCAGAATCTCTGGCACAAAAATGTTTCTTGAATAGTATAGGTGCTTAATAAATGCTTTAAGAGCACCTGATGGGAGGCAGGTATGTGGTGAAGTGGATAGAACACCGGCCCTGGAATCAGGAGCACCTAGTTCAAATTTGGCCTCAGACATGTGAAGCTTACTAGCTGTGTGACCCTGGGCAAGTCACTTAACCCCACTGCCTAGCCAAAACAAAACAAAACAAAATAGAGTACCTAACGAGTTTGTTCAGTTCACCAGAGGAGCTTCCCTTTACAACACCCTAATCCTAATGAGATCCAATTCTTCCACAAGGCCCTGCAACCAGTAAAGGAAGGGCTTTTTTGTTAGGTAAAATCAGCAACAGCTGACACATTGGCCAGGGGAAAGGCAGCAGCTGTTCAGGTTGCTGATTGATACCTCGGGGTTGTTATCTCCCTCCCCATATGGATATTACTTTTGTGCTTATAAGCTGCCCAAATGATGCCCCCTTTGTCTCTTGTTAATCTTTTTTTGTGTGCAGAAATGTCATTTTCTGGACATTAGCTCAAATAGCTACTTATTCTCCCCACCAAGCCAAACCACAATAACTCCCCCAAGTGTCATGAAGTAGAAAAAGATAAATATCAAGTTTGATAGAAAGAGGAAGCAGGAGGTGATAAATCCTAGCAACTGTGACGATGGAATGCTACAAAAATATCTGGAAAGGGGGCAGCAACGTGGAATTGACCAACAAAAAAAGCAGTTGATAAAGAGATAAAACCAAGAAAACATTAAGCAGAATCCCTTAAAACTAATTAAAAATGTCAGAAGTTCTCAGGAGTAACAGTTTAAGTGAACTGAAGTGAGAGTCCTGAAGCCACTGGAAAAAAAGTTACGGTAGTTTTGTAGAAGTTGCTGTTGTTCGGTCATAACCTCATTTGGGGTTTTCTTGGCAGAGATACTGGAGTAGTTTGCCATTTTTTTTCTCCAGTTCATTTTGCAGATGAGGAAACTAAGACAGAGTTAAATGACTTGCTCAGGGTCACATAGCTAGTAGATGTCTGAGGCCAGATTTGAACTAAGAAAGATAAGTCTTCCTGACTCCATGCCCAGTACTCTACCTGATGCACTACCTGGCTGTCCCAATTTTGCGGACAGTAGGAGCTGAAAGCATAGAAAAGGCCTTATTTTAGAGGATGAAATATAATAAAAGGAAAATGGGGAAAATTATTACTGACACCTCTAGAAAAGTTTTGGGCTACTATGTCATAAAACCTCTTCTAATGTCCTTAGGTGGAACCAAGCTAAAGCTCCTTAGTCCTTAAGGGTACAATTCTAGGGCCACTAGCTCTAGGAAATGTCTTTTGGTCGTCCCTTTATATGAATTTTGGGGAAATGTACAAAAATCCTGTGGATTTGGAACTTGAGAGCCTCATTTAGGGAAAAACAACTTATTTCTAAGTGCCAGTGACAGATAATATATAGACAGCAAAGAAGGAAAAGGGGAGGCAGCTTTGTACAGTGTTAACAGGGGACCAGATTTATTTTCCTTTTGCATTCCCAGTGGTTATCACAGTGCTCTTCTGCACATAACTAAGTAACACTTTTGATTTTATTCATTCACTGACTGGAGTTAGAGGTAGATGTGCTGGGTTCAAATTCCACCTCTGTTGTGTGGCTTTTCCAAGTCATTTTAACCTTCCTGGGTCTCAAGTTTCCTCATCTGTAAAATGGGGAGGTTAGTATAAATGGGGCAGTTAGGTGGCACAGTGGATACTGCTAGGCCTGGAGTCAAGAAGATCTGAGTTCAAATTTGGCCTCAGGCATTTACTAGCCTTGTGACCCTGGCCACACAAGCAAATCACTTAACTCAGTTTCCTCATCTGTAAAATGAGGCGGAGAAGGAATGGCAAACCACTCCAGTATCTTTTCGAAGAAAACCCTCAAATGGAGTCACCAAGAATCCAACAGGACTGAACAACAACAAAGTACTATTAGCCTCTAGGGTCTCAATTCTAGAGGAGGTGAGAAGGTAGTGTCTGAATCTATGATGCAATGAATAGAAAGGGAAGAATGGAGGAAAAACTGCACTGTTAGAGCCGTGAACAGGTATAACATTATGAAAAATTAAAGGAAAACGGAGAGAAAGAGAGGATAATACCCAGTTACAACTGGTGCATCTCCAAAACAACCACATCATGCATTGCTTTGCCCCGGTTTCAAAGCTCCCTCACAGTTCCTGACCTCCCCACCCACTGGTGCTTCTGCGCCCACCTCTGCCCCTCCGTGTCCTGCTCCCCGTCTCCTGCTTTCCTCTGTCCCCAGTTGGCATGACACCTGCATACCCCTCCACCCCCAACATCTGTCTCTCCCCGTCCCAATCTGAGTGAAGGGGAAGGGGTGGAGGGGGGCCCAGGGGCAGGTGTGTCAGCCCCCCGTGCACCCCTACCCCGGGGTACTGACCTCCACCCCCAAGGGCCAACACCCCCTCTCCCTGGAGCAGGGCCCCCCGGCGCTGCCCCTTCCCTTTCCTCCCCCCCAGCTCCAGGCTCCCCCGTCCTAGTCGAGCTGGCCCCGCGGCCCGCGTTACTAGAGGGCGGACCCCGGCCCGTCCCGCTCCCGGCTCCGCACGCGGTCGGTCGGTTTCCGGCAGAGGCCGCGCTCTCACAGGGCGGCGGCGCCGGGAGCGGGGCGGGCTGGGCCGCCGGGTCCTCTCTCCCTCTCCACCTCCCTCTCTCCTCAGGCCTGGGCAGCGGCGGCAGCGGGGGAAGATGCAGGCGGAACGCGGGGCCCGGGGAGGCCGGGGGCGGCGGCGGCCAGAGCGGGACCGCGACCGGCCGGGTCCGGGGCCTGAGCCGGGGCCCGGCGCGCCTGCGAGAGGCGGCGGGGACGGAGGCGGCGGCGGCGGCGGCCGCGGCCGAGGCGGCTGGGACCGAAGCCGAGGCCGAGGCCGGGGCGGCCGCGGGGGCCGGGGAGGCCGGGGAGGCGGTGGCGGCGGTGCGGCGCACGGGGCCCAGCGGGGCGGCCGCCGGGAGCAACGAGGCCGGGGCGCGGGGCCCAGTGATCTGGTGAGGGAGGAGCGTGTGTGTGCATGTATGTGTGTATGCGCGCGCCCGAGTGCCTACGTGGACCTCTCCCCTTCCCCCCGCCCCCTCCTGGGGGTCGGAGTAGTGCCCGGGTGGGTATGCCCGTGGACCCGATAGTTTGGGAGTTTTCACGTGGAATCTGTGCGCATGGTGCGTGCGTGTGTGTGTCTGTGTGTGTTTAGGTATGACGTATGGTAGAAGTATGTGGGGGGGGTAAGAACACGTGTTTGCTGGTCTCTAGCGGGAGAGGGATGGGCTGGGATTGGATTCGTGGGGTGAAGGAAGACCCGCGCATCCCGAGAGGGGCAGCAAGCAGCAATAGATAGCGGCGGGAGGGGTAGGGTTGGGTTAGGCATTTCTGGGAGCTGGGTATGTGTGCACTGATAGCATTCTTCGTAAGGAACGTATGTCAGAGAGGGAGAGTGATGGCTTATTTAAAATTTAACTGGGCCGGTCCTTTGGGGACAGACTGCAGTTTGTTCCTAGCCTTAGGAGACAGGGGCTGGACCTCTGTTTTGGTGGAGAGAGCTGTCAGGTGAGGAAACTCCATAGGCCAGCACCTGCTCTGGAATTCATACTCTTAGAGAGCTTTTTAGGGGCATTGATAGATTAGATGATTTGTTTGTGGTCACACTGCCAGAGGTGGGTTTTGAACTCAAGTCTGACCAGCTCTGTTGCCAGCTTTCTACCTTCTATGTGGAGTCGCCTTTATATCATTTATCAACATTCCGCTCTGAAGAGATGGATTTCTTTCACAGCCTCAGTGTGGATAAATCATCATTTAAAATCGTAGCAACTGCATTTCTCTCC